AGTTCTAAGGATTTTGGCTCTTAGAATCATAATCAAACAAACCTAGCATCTCTTTTACTCATCATTCTTTCTGTCCTTCATGTAGTCCTTCAAGAATTTAAATCCTTATAATTTAAAAGAATTTATAGTCCATCTTTTCAATAATTACAATTTTAGGCAGATCAATCATCTGATGATCTCATCTAAATTTGACGACCTTGAGGTTTGATTTTTGATTTTTTTTTTCTTTTTTGAGATGTTTAGAACTAGTACTAAGGGTCAAATTACAACAAATATAAAACTTTCCCTTCGACCGCCTTCTGTCACACACAATCAACACGTGGACAGTACACACTGTCATGTAAGAAGCCTATGCATGCACAAAACTGCCATTCCCACCGCAGGTGAAGGCACTCCAACAAGGAATCAGAAAGTAATCAGGAGAGGAGGCGTGTGTAAAGGCGGAGAATTTGAGTAATTCCTCGATTTCAGAGATTGCAAACGGGGCAGTTGGCCAGATAAGAGGTAGCGAACGAACGGGCCCGAAACCCTCTCGCCTGGCGTCGTGGAAGGAAGGAAGGAAGGAAGGAGTTGGGGGGTTTTGTTTAAGAAGATTGAGGCAGGGAAGAGGAGACAACAGTGGTGGCTCGAGACAAGATGATGAGTTTGGAGGAATTTTTGGCGAAGGCAGGGGCGGTGGAGGAGGCAAGGAAGCTTGAAAGAATTTACGTGTATGACAATGCTCCGATAGTCGGAACAGGAATGCCGGTAGGGGGGGATTTTGGAGTGCCTTCACCTGTGGTGGGTAGGGGAGTGTCAGTAGGGGTGGATGCGGGAAGGTCTTTGCCGGTGGTGGGAATGGGAGGGCCTTTGCCGGTGGTGGATGTCGGAGGATCTAGCAATGGGAGAGGGAGAAAAAAGAAGGGTCTGAGCTCGTTGGAACAGGTGAATAGGAAAGAGCGGAGGGTGATTAAGAAAAGGGAAGTTGCAGCAAGGGCAAGGGCGCGAATGCAGGTGGTGGAATTTTCCTAAATTTTTTAGTTGCTGTTATGTTTGGTGGAATTTTTATACTTCATTCAAACTTTGAATTGATTTGGTTTCTGGTTTTTGGTGAATTTAGGCAAGAATATTGGGATTGGAGTGGAGGAAGAAGAGTTTAGAGGAAGAGAATGACCAGCTAACGACAGAGAAGGTAATTTCGATTGAATTCATTGCATTGATTTTGATTTGTTGTTTTGTAGACCTAGGATGATAGTTTTTGAGGCGGTGATCAATTTGCTGAATCCCATTGTTCTATATTTATTACTGGAGTTAAAAACAGTGAAAAAGAAGGTGATTAATTGAGATTCTGGCTTAGTATGTCATGAATAATTGCATTTCAGTTAGAAGAATTTCACAATGAGTTCCTCTGCCTTCAACTGGGTATAATTACTCCTCATCGGTGTTTTTCACACGTTACTTTCTTTTAATTATATTGCTTCCGGTGATTGTTTTGACTTATGGTTCTGCAAAATGCGCAAACTAGCTTGCTTGCAACTTTTTCAAATCCTGTGGCAGAAGATTAGCTCTTAGGCTCAGTGATAGCATGAGATGCCTGCACAATATCTTCTTTGTTGATTGAGGTTATTGGTGCATGGGAAAAGGTATCTCCTTACCGTTGGTTGTTTCACGGTGTTTGACCTGTCACTCTTCTATTGCGAATTAAGTTCATTTTGTCAGAATATTCCAGTCAACGTGGATAGTATTTGTCGGATTCGGCGCAATGTAATGTGGAGATGTCTTGTATGCATGCTTTCTTTTCATTTTGTTCTCAAGATGCTGTTGATGTGCCTTATCAGCTATCGAATACATCAAATGCCTCAATCGCAGGTTTTTTTACCCTCCCCCCTTCCATGAGAAGCATGCAGTTTAAAACGCTTTTGAATATATATGAAATCAATGATAATTTCGCTGTCTAGTTGTTGTGCCTACTGCTGCATTAGATTTTCCCTTTTCTAACCCTCATTAAGTTTCTTTAACTTGTGTGATTTTGTGGTTGGATTTGTTTCCACTGCAAATGCAACTTAGATTTTAAGGAGTTTACACGTGTTAAAAATGAGTAGTGCTGCTAATAAAGCAGGCTACATTTAATAAATGGCATTATCTAGTCTGAAGGCCAATCCACCTAGAATATATATTTGTATTGATTGAAGATGGAATGTCTTTCACGTTTCATTGTTTGGCCACAGACTTGGAAAGCTGCAAGTAGAAAATGGTTTTACCAACCAAAGAGAACCCCACCTTCGAACCACTGCATCTCTGCACTGCCATTAAACCACCACAAATCAGCCTGAACTCATATCAAGAAGTATAAACTCCAATGAAAAAGTTATTTTGACAGGTTAGGGTAAATGCCACATTACAAAAAGAAAAAATCCAAACAAAATATGAATTAATTATCAAAAATTGAAATCCTATAAATTTCAATTGTGAACTCGCCCTTATAATTATCTCTTAATCATCATTTTGAACTGAAATATTCAATGAATGTCCCGCAAGACCCTGAAAACGACATATATCAGATCTTAATTTCTCAATCAAACATAAGTATGAAAGGAAATAAAAAGAGAGAAACTGTCCTTTATCAAGAATAAATTCTGGGTTGAATAATGAGGTCACTGGTAATGTTTCGGCCAAGCTGCCAGATATGGTGGAAGAAGATGTTAAATGGTGATCGATGACCAGAAAATGTGATGAAGATAATGGACCGACCACTTTCTTCTTTTACTCTCTCTCTCTCTCTGAGAGAGAGAGAGAGAGAGAGAGAGAGAGAGAGAGAGATGAAACTAATGGTGGTGACGGTGGTGTATATTCTTGAGGATGGAGATGTACAGTGTGAGTTAATGAATGAAAAAAGGGGATAGGAGAATTCTCTTGTTTCCGGTTCCCTCCTAGAGTGGCCTAGTTGAGAAGGAGATCTTAGGAATTACATGGGATGCTCTTTCCTGAAAAGGGTTATTTGCACTGTTAATTTGTGTTACCAAAAATGGAAATGGAGAAATATGTGGATGGTTATGTGTTTTTGTTTGCTTAGAGCCCTCGGACCTGAACAGTGTATGTATGTTGTGCTAACAAAATATGGACTCCTATTTAAAAGGTATTGGAAATGAAAAAAGATGGTGATACTGCATTTTTGTCTCTATGTTCTTATAGGCTTGGTGGCTCTTCAACTGCCACATTTAGAATCATGACATTTATAGATTACCTTGTAATTAGAAGTTAGCATTTATAACATTTCCCTTTTTGTATTCCTTTGAAAGAAATGACTTGTATTCACATGTCTCCCGAACCAAAACTGCATGTTTATTTTTATGTGCTCATCGATATAATGTGGACCATACAGAGTCATCACTTGTGATATAGTGGCATTGTGATGCAATAAATAATCTACTTTCAATTTTTAGCTTGGTGGCAATGCTGGGCCGTGCGCATGATGTAATGTTTGACTAATGAAACTAAGTGCTTTTATGCTCATACTGGTTATGTTGTTGATATCCTATATCAGTGGCGACAATGCAATCTAAAGTAATCAGTGAGATGAATCATAGATACATTTAGTCCAGATTTACTGTCATTTTTCATGGAGAAACAGATAAAATTTTCAACTCTACATTCAATTATGAACCATCTAGATTGAACGGCTTCCTCTGGTATGCTTCATGGTTATGAATTGTCAAACATTTTATGAAAATTTATTTTATGCACTTTTGAGCCACTTTTCGGCTTTCTTAGTTGTGATGCTTTCCTAGTACAATAGATTAGACAAGGGAAATGTAGATCATAAATAGCATGGTTTGTTGTGGTTGCAAAGTACCCAAGTGCAATGGATTTTCAGTTTGATATATTGATGGACTACATGGAGGGGTGAATAAGGATATGTGTCGGACCCCGAACTCATTGGGGCAGTTTTATTGAACTTAATTTCAAATATGATGCTGTCAGGAAGACTTTATACGCTGGCTGGCCTTTTGTTGTATAACGTTCCATTTTTTATATTTATGTTATTAAAACATTTCTATGCCTTCAACAAATTTTCAAAAATTGGAAGTGGTAAATCTGTTTTTTTGGCACAGATCTGAACATTTTCAATGTCTCCCTGTTCTATCATGGTTAAGACTTCTAGATTAAAATGTAAGGTTTTCTACACTGGGGTGATAATAAGTAAAGGAGGATTATATGTTTTAATGGCTCTTTACTTTTTTTCAATTTTATCCTTCTTTGATATATTCTTGTACTGCACGCAACATCATGCCATGGCTTGGTTGCATTTTAGTTTTAAATTTTTGGTTTTGTAAAAATATTCCATGTATGTCTAGATTGTTGATGACCATATGTATGTGTTCTTGTTGATCAATTCTTTGAACTTACAAATGTATTTTTTCAATGAATTTTCTAATTCCAGGAACAGTTCGAAAAGAAGAGGCTTAAGCAGGTATCAAACTTACTGCTATCCTATATAATCCCTGATATTGTGAAAGATTGTTGAAAAGCCTAATATTGTGTCGGGGTGTCCATTTTAGTTGTGAATTTGAAAAAAGAATACTTCTGGGCACTTTATCCTCAGAATTTTCGTTTACCGTATTATCAAGAGGTTGCATGATCTTAATATGAATTTTTCCTCAAAATTTGACATAAATTGAAGGTGGAATCCGTTAAGCGTAATAATTATCTTGCTGTGCTGCTTTTAATTAGTTGTCACAAAGTAATGGAGTGACAAAAACAGAAAAAACGACAAATTTAGAAATTCACATTTAAGAGGTGTAAAAAGATTCCTCAGCAAAGGCTCTCTTGCGCGCAAATTAGAAAACAAAGCGAATATAAATAAAGATGAGAAAGTAGCAAGTTTTGGTAGGGTTTGTTATGTAGAAACAACTGCATTACTGATATTCTAGTTGATTTCTCCTGCAGCTAATGGAGAAAGTTATCCCAGTTGTGGAAAAGCGAAGGCCTCCACGCGTCCTGCGTAGAGTTCATTCCATGGAATGGTAATCGTTTTCATGCTCAATGCTTGAGATGAGATTCAAATGCTTGCTTTGTGTCATTGAACGATGTTAAAAAAAGCAAGCATCGTTTATAGAAAGAAACTTTCTTCAATCGGATCATATATCTCAGCACATCGTTACTCTTTAAGATCATAGTTCCTTTAAATGTTATTGAGTGAAGACTGGTGAACTCCCTCAAGAGGAGACAGAAGTATTTAGTACCTTGGATATGTTAATGTAAATGGATTCAGGATCCTAGAGTTTATGTATTTTGTATCATTTTGATAATGCCTAGTGTTTCCTTTTTCAAACACATTTTATGTTTCAAATTTTGTTATTCATGAATATAAATAGCATCCTCGAAATGCATGTTTGTTATACAGGATAAGCCTTGGCTGTCTAATAAATTGAATTTTAGCTTCCTACTAACATGCCACACGATGGAATGAGAGGGTTGGGTTACACTGATATACTGTCTAAACTTTGGTGCAATTTGTCTCGTGTTTAAAATTTGTTATTTTTTCATGTTAAATGTTGGTATTTGCTTTGAGATGTCGGTTTGTGTTACTACAAAGAAGCATTTTATAGAGTGCAAAATCTGAAACCATAAAACCTTATGGTTAGAACAATTGTTTTATAGTCAACATGATCGCTATTGGAATTTATTATTTTAGCAATATTTTTATAATTGTTTTTAGTTAATCCCCGGTAATTTGTTAAATAGTTAGAACAATTCCAATGAACTGTCAGACGATACTTAATTCTGAATTATTAATTAATTTTTTCTAAAACTTTCAAAACTTTCAAAACTAAATCCCTCTGTCTACCATTTTTTCTAAAACTCATTTTCAACCACGTTCTCACAATAAAATATTTTACACGTAAATTCAAAACTTTTCCTTATTTTCTAACCACACATTATTCAAAAAATCACTATTCCATTAAAAAATAATGTTCTAATAGTGATTTTTAAATGTGATTAAAAAGTATGGATAAATTTTGAATTTACTGCAGAATATTTTATTATGTGAATCGAACATGAGAATGTAGAAAAAAGAGCTTTTAAATAATGATTGTCAAACAGGGACTAAGTTTCTCTCTCGCCACTTGGCCACATGATATTCATTGAATAATTTTTGAATAGATGTTTAAGAAAACAACGTGATTCTAGAAGTGTCAACTTAATTGATCTGTGGTCTTATAAAAATATAAGAAGGTTCACAAAAAGTTATACATGTTCAATGTTTCTAAAGAAAAATGTAGAATAATCTTGTTCTGAGGGCACATACAGCTGGTCTTATCCTAACTTTCATTACAAATTAAGGACATGCTTACGAAAAAATCAAAGATCTAGTCAACCCAACTATAAAATAAAATTCAATCATCTTCAATGTAATCACACCTTGAAGCATTATTTGAATTTTCCTGCTGGTATGAAGTCAGATTGAGTTGACCAAGCATACAAATGTGACAAACCAGGTTAATAAAATATAAGGTATAAGCATAGTTTATACGAGTCACTAACCATATATCTACTGGCCCATTTTAATGAATTTAGTTATGTAAAAGAAGACGAGACAGACTTCTGTCGTAGACCAAGATACAAATAGGGTTAGAAATAAGTCAAACTAATATCCACTGTTAAATTGGAATGGAGATTTTGAGTAAAAGGTTACCAGAAGCAATGAGTTTTCGACTATTATGAAAAATGTGTTGAATCTTGAACCTACGAAAGAACGAGATCATGATGGTTGACATGGAACTGAACATGTTCAATGTTTCTAAATAAAAATGTAGAAAATTCTTGTTATACAGATAAAAGGTGTAGAATTAGACCAGAGTACGAAGGCTTCTTGTTAGAGACACCTGATCCCATCTTCAATTTCAATAAAACTTGTGAAAATTGCAAGCCTAAACAAGACAGAACAAACTCTTTGAAGTGAAGATGACCATTTTACAATTGATCACCATTCAAACAGTTCAAGAATATACAACAGCAGCACAATGTTGTACCATTTCATTATGCAAATAGGCCTAAACTGCAATATTAATTAGCAAAACGAGTAACAACAACAACAGAGCCTTGTTTTCAATAAACTTAGAGCCACGTACAACAGATCATACGCAGAATCTGATGCAAGGCATTGTTACTCAGTTATGCCTCAATGAGGTGTACCAGCGTTCATGTCATAAGAAGATTTGATAAAGTTTTTCACGGGCCATCAACCTACCACAGCCCTCCTCCATAACGAACCATACGTATGAAAATGCACCCTCAAGAAGACACAGAACAAATTTGACGTGAAAATGAAGCCATTTAGCTACCTTGCTGCTGATGAGCATTCAAACAGTTCAAGAGCGTATAACAGCAGAACAAGCTGTCTCATTTCATTATGTTTATTGCCTAACTTAGATGTGAACTATGCCTCAAATGGAGTGTTCTTCAGTTTCTACTAATATTGTTTATCATCTAGCAGCATCAAATTTAGTTGCAATATAGATTATATCTCAAAGTAAAAGATACAATAACATGGACAGCATAAAGTACAATCATTTTCCTGATTTCTTTAAATACGTTGTGATTAATACATTACTTTACCTCTTCGACCTTTTCTTGAGTAGCCCACAGGGACAACTTGTTATCTCAAATTGTGTCAATTGTTACTATTTGCTCGTCCAATAGAATCAAGACACTCAGTCCTGTTTTGCACAATCCTATGAAATACTTCTCTAACCCGATTCTCTAATGGATCCAAACCATCTTTTACTGCTTTAAACACTAGTCCAAACTCCTGAACTCTGTGCCTCACTTCCTCTTCCTTTTCCTCAGTCAAGGGGAACTGAACAAAATCAGCCAATTCATTCATTTGTCTAGCGCATTTTTCAATCTCGCGAATCTCCTTCAACAACCCACTAGCATTTCTCCTGTCCCGTTTCTTCGACTCATCCAGAATCTTCTCATGGAGTGAGAGAATCGGAATGGCCCAAACAAACTGCCTAGTTACTAAAAAGTGTGTCTGAAGGCCACGGTCTTGACAAGGGATTGCAGCCACAAGTGCCCACATCACGAAAAGAAGCACGTAATTCATGGTGAAAACAGCCACATTAAGTCCATGAGTGGCTGAAATCTCGTGAGTTCGTGGCGCAGCCAAGTTGTTGCCAATTGCTTGCAACTGCCTAGCAGCAGACCAAGACCAGGAAACGCTCCAAGACAGGGACCGGAATTGACTAAAAGACTTACGCTCCCTCTGGACATTGTTTCGTCCAAAAGACCGATTTCTTTGTGCAAGAGTCGATTTCGACTCTTTTTCATCCACCATTGCAATATCCAAATCAATCAAGGCCTTTTTAGCACGACGAAACTGGCCTTCCCCAATGCTACATTGATTGTCTAATGCACACAAAACAATCTCCAACTGCTTCTGCCATTGCCTGATCAGCTCAATGCCATCACGAATCGCATTGCAAACATCTAGAGCCTTGACATTTCTCTCAAAGTATTCGGAAATGTATCGATCCATGGGGGCTCGATTGAAGAAACCTCGATTCTTGAAAACAATAAGTCCAAATTCCTCTTGGCAACAGAGGAATGCATCTAAAAGCTTGCGAATCCACGGAATTGAGAGCAACTCATTAGAGTCTGCCGCTGCCAATTCATGAAACCTGTCGGCCACATGTTTTTGGAAGGCTTCCAATTCAATTTCATGGCCACTGGCCTCATGAGTAGAGTCCATAGAGTGGACCTGATTCCGATGCCTGCTCAAAATGGAAAATCCTAAGCTTGGAAAAGATGAAGGTGATGACGTTTCGTGATAATCTGCACCTGACATTTCCTAGTTTACATGAAAAAGATAAAATTTGCAAGAAATTCTTCAAAAATGATAACCAAAATTCAATCTCAAAAGGAAACAGGAAAGTGGAAAAACTCAGATTTTTTTCTTGCCAAATCAACAACCCTAGGTACAAGAAAATGTAATAAAAAAACCACAGAATACCCTTCGGATTACAATTGATAACTTACTACGAAATATCAAATTCTTAAAGACCCATAATTAAAAAAATTCCAACCAGACTCAAGATTGCCCCAGCAGAAAATGTAGTTATCTGAAGAATCTTTTAACTTCTTGCAATTCTGTCAAGAAAACAAAATTGTAAACCGAACCCACAAATAGCAAGATTCAAAACACCGATAAAAGGATTCGAGAAGCTACATAAGCCAAATGGGTTGATATTTTCAGAAGGAAAGAGCAATGATATGGGACTATTTGAAACCCTATTGCAATTGAGAGCTCTTATATGTGGGAGTAATTTGTACCGCGGATTACATGGAAGAGGAGAGAATATTCATAGAAATCGATCACGTATTAACAGCTTTTCGGTCCAGAGATTCCAAAAATTAGTACTATAATTAGTCATAGTAACTAATTTGATTAAAGTAATCTTGGGCAGTGAAATAGTGAAATTGAAAAGGCCAAAAGTGACCACTTAAAAAAAAAAAATTTCACATTTTTTATAATATTTTATTTATTTTTTAATCACACATTTTTCAAATTTTTTTTTTTCACAAAATCACTTTCAAAAAATCACTTTTACACAAGGCCTATTTATTTTTATTTTTTAAAAAAAGTGTTATTGTCTGAATATGTAGTCGATTGATTTTCAATATAAGCACAGATAAATAGGTTCGCCGTTTTGTTAGAATAAAATGACAATTTTTCGTGACAACATTGCTAATTTGCTATATCTTATTACACCAATAGCTTTCTTTTTGAAATTCGTGTATAATATTTTTTTAGAAAAAAATTCAAAGTTTGAACATACAAACAGAGATCTTGTTTTGAATTTCATTGCATATAAGATTGTCAAACATTTATTTTCTTCAGCCATCTTTATCAAACATCATAATTATACTCTTATCTCTAAAGAAAGTAAGAGGGGACAAAGAGTATTCTAAATCAAGAAGTCATCTGCATAATATGGTAGACAAGTGAAAATCATCCACTATGT